TCCATTATTCTGGAACGGAACTTGTTTTCTGGTCACTTTTTTAGCTACAGCTGATGGCCTATTAGGATGAAAGGTGACCCCCAATTTTTATTACATATTCTGAAAGCACATAAGTTGTAAATATGGTTTTATAGATCATAATGGCTGATCGGACATTGTGACGTCATCATATTGCCATCTGAATTCATTTTGATGACGTCATCATGGTCAAAAAATTGTTTTTTCTGACCCCCACATCTTTCTTTCCTCAAAACGTTGATGAGCCCATATCATCTTAACCATTCGTCATTTCTGAATCATATTAAGTGAGCATAATCTTCAGGTCAAGGTTGAATGTCAGGTACCTTTATTATCCGTTCACGTGGCTTAACGAGCGCGTACGTGTGCATCAACATTTATGCATAAAACCATGAATATATTTAATCAGTTATAGCTCCATAGGATGTAAGGTGACCCCCAAATTTTATTACATATTCTGAAAGCACATGAGTTGTAGATACGATTTTATAGATCATATTGGCTGATCGGACATTGTGACATCATCATATTGCCATTTGAATTAAGAAAAAACTGAATTTTTATTTATTATATATATACGTTATTATATTATACGTTATTACTTTTTATACTCGTTTGAACGTATCTCGCTTATCTTGATTGATTGTCTCCCACCTGTGAGTATGTTATAGCTAAATCAATTCTCTTTCGGACGTGTATTTTTCATTTTGATCACGTCAGCATGGTCAAAAAGAATGAATTTTTAGAGCATACTTATCTCTCATTCTTAAAAGATGTAAAAAATAGAACACAAGAGGGTGGCAGACTGTATTTCAACGCTATCAGACTTATATATACAGTATAGGTTATACGAAGGGAAAATTCCTGTGGCATTAATAACAGACGGTTTTAAAAACACGACAATATTTAATTCCATGTGCCATTACTTTACACGCACACATCGTAACGTGTGCGTATGTTAAAATTTAAAAAATTCTCAATATCACTATTCAGATAGTTTAAACGTTTCGGGTCATTTTCTGCATTCCAAAACTTTCCATATATACGCGCCATACGTTCATTTCCACGCACACAGAACGTACTGAAGCTGGAAATCACGTTTTGTTACATATTTTGTGTTCCTGACACTGTATTCATATCAGGAGTCACTCTTTACGTGTACACATGCGTAAATCTTTTAAAATGCTGAAAATTATTCTTTTTTAAAACACTAGTTGTACCGAATATTTTAGCATATTATGAAACTTTTCAATCAGCACTGCGCGCGCTTTATAAGGGTCAAAGTATGGCGGATCACCAAACTCGTCTTTAGTGACGAGTTCAAATCTAGTTACTATTATTATTATTATTACTATTATTATTATTATTACTATTATTATTATTATTATTATTACATTAATCCTGGCATCAGGTTTTTTTGTTCTGCTTGTTTAGTGCCAATGATAAAAAGGTGTAGTAGCTGTGGCGGCTGTAGAATATATTTTTTATATTTTTTTGAAATTGACCTGTCTGGTGGGACAAAAAAATCATGACGTTATAAATAAAGATCAGTTTTTTAAAATTCAGATGGCAATATGATGACGTCACAATGTCCGATCAGCCATTATGATCTATAAAATCATATCTACAACTCATGTGCTTTCAAAATATGTAATAAAAATTGGGGGTCACTTTTCATCCTAAGGAGCTTTAAAAATAAAAATTAAAATAGGCCTGATTTTAGCATTTTTTCACTGTATATCGGCATATATGCGCACAAAGATTCCTGTTTGATGCACGCGTACAGCATTGCTATTGGCCATAAATTTGAACAAGAAATTTGTGAAAAAAATGTCAGGAACCTAAAATGTGTAAAAAAACGTAATTTCTAGCTTCCGTACATGCGTAAAAAGGTGCACGCATAGTGGAAAATATCAAAAAATTTTTAAATGCTCAAAATGACCTGAAAAGTGCTCTAATTTAGTCAAAAACTGATTTTGAAATTGACACGCACGCCAAACATTTCGGTACATGATATTCGACCTTGACCTAAAGTTTATGCTTACTAATACAATTGAGAAATGACAATTGGTTAGAATGATATGATCAATAATGTAAAAACACAAATTGCACATAGATGATGTCACGCATGACTGAGCACACCGAAAACCTTACTGTCAGGTCAAAGCCAAATGTTCGTTGAAGCTTGCATGTACAAATTTTAGATATCGTGCGAACAATAATGGAAGGAAAGGTAGAATAAAAAAAAGATGAAGATCTTTGACAACAAGATCATAAAACCACCAGGATGGATAAATGGATGGATGGATGGATTTACTCTGTGTAACGTAAAAACACAAATTGCCAAGGAAAACCAACAGAAGTCTAGAAGAAGTGGGGTCCATCTGGTGGTGATTGGGCAGTACACTGGGAGACAATCCCTTACTCTTTTCCGAAGAGTGTACTGCATTCTATAACATGCACATGGGCCATTTTGCACATGGGACTAACGGCTTAATGTCTCATTTTATATATTTCTTACTTCAATCTATATCTGACAGGTTCACTGTTAATTTCCTCATTTAGATTTACCTCCAAACTTATTCTTTTTGCCTCTACAGTAGTTGTGGCATTCATTGTGATCTCTCTGAATAAAGCAAGAAGCAAGCACACTTCCTTGTCTTTCTGATCTCCCTTCATATTCTATGGACAGAATACAGTATGTGAGTCATGCAAAACAAAAAAACATATAAAACTCAAATTAAAATTTAAATAAAGTTAAATTATTCATAAAAACAAATATGACACCAAATAAAAACATTGAATTTCTCATTTCTATCCTAACTGCTAGCCAGTGAATAATGTACTTTACTTCTATTTTGGTTGCAATAGCAATTAGGACTATCCCATTGTATATTTATAAACCTGCCTAATATCATATAAGAAATCATAAATTGAGATAAAAAGAGTATATGTACTGTCACAACTTTGCACATCTTCTCAAAGTCATTGTCCACTATACACTGACGAATAGCTTCTCGAATGTTAGTGTACGTCTCACCAACAATGACAAAATTATCTGGAACATTCAGATCCTGTGTGGGTAACAAATAATAAACATTAATTGAAATGTGATCTACACTCTACAGCAATTTAAAAAAAGATAATCAGAAAAACTTTTTACTTGCACAAACTTTTTCTGATACAAGTCATCAGCTGTAGATATTGTTTCAGCTTGGTCATGGTGGGACCTTGATAAAGTTGAGCTTAACATGTGCCCTATCATCTTGCTCTTGCAGGGAACCCGGGAACCCAAAGCGAAAGTCATCAGAACAGCAAGATGACCTTAGGCGGATTCAGGGGGTTCCCCCACCCTAAACTGTATTTGTCATATTTTTATGTTGGTATGAAATACCAGTGAGATTTTCAAGGTTTGAGAGTGCAATTTTGGGCACCTACAGGTCTATATTCTCAAAATGTTCTCCCCTCAGTTCTAAACATTGTGGGGCTGAGGTGCTGTGCTCTCTCACGCACCCCGGGTGATTTTGTGGTAGGGGCCCTTCCAAAAAATCCTGCATCTGCCCCAGATGACTGTGGGCGCTCATCAAGAACACACTACTTTCAATTTGAAATAACATCTACACTTCACTTGAAAACGATCAAAGTGTACAGCAACAGCCAACATTCTGAGTTAAGGAGTAGGATTAGTATGTCTTTAGGGTGCATTTTTTTTTATACATTTAAATGCATAGATGTCTCTACAATATGTGCTCTATACATCGGCCAATTGGAAAATGTAACATAACATAACATAACTGAATCATCAAAACTAAACAAGTCAATTAAGAAATAATGACCATACATTTTCCTTCTTGACCTAACTCAAATTAAAATATGAAAACTTTGGTTTTGCCAAATTACAGCACCAACTTATATGAATTGTATACGCATGGATAAAAAGTTATTTTTCTCAACCCTCACATGTGAAAAACAAGGCACTGTCGTAATCAATGCTAAGCCCTCACTCATCATTATAATATATGCCTATTAATATAAAAAATTCCTAAGCTGCCTATATATTTGATTTCCTGTACTATCTGTGCCACACTAACATAAATCTCTTTTGCTACGATCCTACTTGATATATTTCTGAGCAGTAAAGAAATGACTAGGAATCCCTCTTTGACATATAAAGCACAAACTCAGCTCACAATGTTATAACACAACTCTCAAATAAACTTTTGTTCTGTATTAACTCCAACAAGAATCCGGTCTCAAAACAACACTCACATAAACATGCATTTCAAAAAGAGCTCCAGAAAAATAAAAATATCAGCTTATATAACCCTAACTGTAAAACTCCAGAGCATTCAAGAGCATACTATATTGCCTAAGTTCCTCATTGGTCACATGACATCATAATTAACCAATAGGCAATTGCTTTTAGTACTTCAACATCTAGAACCTTCCACATGGTCTATTATGTTCATATAATTGCCATTGTGAAATTACACTGTTTGTTTGGTCAAATAAATTCAAGAATGTTCTATGTAATAAATATGTTACAATAAGGAAAGGAATGGTAATTTATTACATACATACCTGAGCTTTCAACTCATCTGGTAAGATCCAGTTTAACTGGTCGTCAACCTTCAGACGTGTAAGAGCATCTTTGCTGTAAGCTCTGCAAATGTATTTCACAAGATACAACTGAGCCTGTTTATTCTTCTGACAGAATATTTTAGCTTTACTTGACAGCTTATCAACCTATAAACAAAATATTGAAAGTCTTTAAAAGTGCTTCAAATACCAAATATCAGGAATTTAGACAAAACTACCACAATTCAAACAATTATACACAGGTTGAAGATGGCATTTTGTCTCTTCAGGGAGATAAATATCCGAATGAATCGATGATCTATCTTTTTTCAGAAACTACATGTGAATGCAATATAACTATTGTTTTCTAGGTAAGTATTCAATCTAAGAATCAAACAGTAATATATATTTTTGTCTTACAAGACACTTGATATCCTCTTCCTCTTGTTGTTGGCGTTGAATGATATCAGCGAGCACTGTCAATGCAAAACGACTCTGTGATATTGCTTCAAGTAACTCAACACTTAACGGGTCAGCAGTGACATTTTGTCCGTCAAAAAAATGATGAGCATTTTCAAGTTTCTCAAGACCATCGCGAAGGAGCAATTGGATAAGTTTTGCATCAGAGTCTTGAGGAATACCAGAGTAAAACGTGTCCTGGAAAAAAAAAAGTACACAGATCAATCATGATGTTGGGAGGCTGACATAGTGATCGGTGCACCACCGGAAGAAGTGCTTAAGGCAACTGTTGTACGAATTCAAGCGAAGGATAAGGTCCGGGTGGAGACCCACAATTGGGACAGGGTGGGCAGGACGCGCAGGAGCTAGCGGCCCCACAGGCCCGCCCTCTCAAACCACCCTGACAGGGAGTCTCAAACGAGACACCCAAATGGTCAAGGATGGGCGGCATCGCCCGGGCCACAAGCTGAGAGAGATCGGAGCCGAGAACTAAGTCCTCAGCTTCCGAATTTTGAGGCTCGAACGAGTCGTCCATGGGCAACTTGCCACCCACCCGGACTCCCTCCCCAGCTACAGGAGGGCCAGAGGTCGGGGTAATTGCTGAAGCGACCTGCATCCCGGCAAAAACCTCCCTAGCAACACGGCCCACCTGTTCCGAAATCAAAGAAACCAAAGCCGGGTCCAGCGGGGCAGCAAAAGGCGAGGGACCAGCCGAGCGCGAAGCCATCGGACACTCCAACGGCGGAGGAGAGTCATCCGCTACAACCCGACGCAGCCGGCAACAAAACATGAGATCGAGGGGCTGCCTGAGCTGCCCAATCAAGAGTTGCCGCAAACTTAGTAGAGGGCCAGCGCGCACAAATCTCGCAAGGCTCCGCCTTGCTGCACGAGCGATACAAAGGGCACTCCGAGTGTCAATTGAGCTTGACACTCTGCTTGGGGCCCCCACACGCCGAGCGCAAGGACTTGCGCACGGACACGGTTAACCGATCGGGACTACAATAAAGGCTATGCTACAACAAAGTATATGTCAACCGCTTGTTGAAAATAAATCTAAGGGAAAACAGAATTGAGCAACTACTTGAAAATAGAAGAAAAAATCTGCAGGGTCCTGCTAGCAAGGTACTATTTCCAGTAATGCTAAAAGAGGTCCGTCTTCAACCAACGTCAAAAAGGGAATGAGTACGATTGTTAGGGAGACGGTTCGCAAATGGCGCCTTGGGTCGGACTGTTCCATTTTTTTCGAAGGGGTGTTCCGTTTTGGGAACAATGGCAATTAGTCAGTTTCTCCTTTGTGGCTGATTATTTACTGAAAGGAGTTTGATGGTCTTACTGTGGATATATTTACATTCTTTAAACTTGATTTCTTTGATGTGAACAGAAACAGTTTATCCACAAAAGTCCCAAGTTTTATTTAATGTGGAGCCCTTCTGAAGTTGAAATGGTACAGAGAAGGGTGTACTGCATTCATGCATATGTAACCATATTGCACAGAAGACTATATTTTTTCCAAAAGACGGTGAGCTACAGAAAAATGCATTACAGCTCTCTAGCTGAAACATGTGGAGAGCAGCTTATTGAAATTGTTCAGTAGGACGAAGATTAGAGAGGGCATTAAAAGTGCCGATTGTAGTACTGTACTGTACATGTACTACTGTACTGTACAAGTACCTGTACATTACCGTGAGTCGAATGGCTGAGCGGTTAGCAGGGGCGCCGTAAGCTATAGCCATAATATCGGCGCTGGTTCGAACGGCACGCTCGCCTATGGTTCTGGTGGTAGAAAAAGTCTTCTTGGATAAGGACTATAAACCGTAGGCCCAGTGTATACAATGGCTTGTGTGCACTATAAAGAACCCAATACATCCTTCGAGACAAGTAGGAGGATACCTGGGGTACTGGAACAAACAGCCCCTGTGGTGGATGATGAGAGTTGCTGGTACCGGGTAGCACAGACACGAAAGGACCCTTAGGGGCAAATAAAGTCATTGATCATGTTCCTAGTCCACATATCAAGCGCCCTGAACATTTTACATTAGATGGATATGTGCGCTATATAAAACTACACTATACTAACATTAACATTTATATAGCACACATTTCTACAACATACATCGTAATCAGCGTCACTTTACATGACTAGTTTAATTGAATTTTATTTATTTATTCATTTATTTACTTATTTATTTATTATTTATTTATTTTTAATTATCTATTTGTTTATTTTTATTAAATAATAATCATAACATTGCTGAAAGTAGAATGTCTCCAGCTTGCATTTAAATTGTGTGTAGTTGTCCAATTGTGATTCAGATTGAGATCATTGATTCTTGAGCGAGCACTACGAGCTACATTTCGTACAGTGAAAACCATGTTTCCAATCACTTTAGTTATTTGTTTCATGTTTTTTTAATGATGACAAATGATGATGTTGAATGTCAATTTCAAATATTACAAAAACTACAATTTTAGTGAATACACTGTTAGAGGAACCTCCTAAATCTGAAGGTTGATAACTTACTTCTAGACAGTTGACAAACAATCTGCAGAGGCTCACAGCATCATCAGGTCTTTTCATGAGATCTCTTGAGTTTTTCAGATACTCTTGTACATGCTGTTTAACAGTTTCAAAACTAATAAAAAAAAAATCTGGCTTTAATCTGCATGATCTTAAAGAATAAGTACATGAGGAATTATGGAGATTAAGGGCAGGTGCTAAAAATCGAAAAGTATTATTGTGTCCAGCCCCAATATTACCACCATTATCACCATCATGACCACAATCGCCAACCACTCTACTATCTATCATTGAATATCATAGTGATCTTACTTTGACTGAAGCAACAACTGGAGTAGGAAAGATCTGACAACTGGATTTGGATCGATACAATCCTCTGGGAAAGGAGAAACATTCCTTGTGACACGTTTCTTATGTTTTTTGGAATCTATTGTTACATATCCCAGCAACTTCTTGATGACCTCTTCACTTGGTGGGGTTCCATCAGCAAAGCAAAGCTGGGACACAACTTCCATGAAGAACGAGTTACAACATTGACGGAACTCATTGTGCTGAGTAACAACCTCACTGAAAAAATGAAAGATAGCTTATTATTAACAAAAAAAAAAAAAAGAAACCTACAAATGTGAATGTTTGATTTTAACATTTTGTAGGAATAATAAATTCTCATGCCTTTATTTTGCCTAATGAAATACTAAAAAAGAAATGTGAAATTGTTTAACCTCTCGGTTACTTAAATTGTATCCCTATAATTTGAGCCTACATTTTCTAAACTATAGGTTGTAATAAAAAAAAATTGTATTTAAAAAAGATATGATTGTGAATAATTTCCATAAAACACAAGGTACTCAAGTTCTACAGCTTGCCACAATTGATTATCGAAATAGACCACAATGCCAAAACAGGGGTATTGATGGTAGGGTAGGCTTCATAAGCCTGGTTCACGTCAAACTTTTATCTAAATATAGATCCACTTAACTAGTTAAAAGTTTGACGTGAACCACTCAATTATAGCTAGATAAAAAAATTAAGTCACTTAAGTTAAGTGACTTAACTTTACTAGAATAACAGTAAATTAACTTGCTTAACGGTAAAGTCGGCTCGGACTACAAGGACACGATTACGTAACGTAGGCATCTAAGCCAGCGTTGTTGTATTGTACCACCATTATCATCTTCTGGCTGGCAACAACGTACTCCAGCAATGCTAACAACAGCATCGAAGTAGTCTCATTAGTCTGGTTTTTCAAAATTATTTGTAATATTATGGGTAAAAACGAAGCAAACGTCCGTTTTACGAATAGTCGATATTCCAATGACCTTTGTCCTTTGCATCATTGACCAAGTAATAACATTAAAAAGTCCGATTGCGTATGTTTTTCAAAGTGATAATGTATATTTTTCTTAATAATAAAATCAAATCTGTTGTATTTATTTATTGACAATTCGATCTTTTCCATTTCTGCTATAATAGTCACTATTAATTCAGTTTCAACAAACTACCACCAACGCCAGCCGTTAAAATGAGCACACATGTTTACGATGACAAAATAAAAAATGTGGAAGTCAGCAACTTATTTGACACCGCGAAGCTAGATTTTCGCGAAGTGCATGCAAACAACACAATTGAGCGATCTAAAAACTACAAAACAGGACAGAAAGGTCCATAAAGTATACAGACGTTTTAATGAAAATTAAAACAATATTTTGTTAAATGGAAGAATGCTAGCTAGCGATTAAAATAAATCGTTTTTATCGAAGGTAAATTTAGCTAGGGCCTAGAGAATCTACTACTTCGATTGCGATAGAACACGCTGCTGCACTGTCGTTGGTTGGTACTGGTCGGTAGGTTAGGTAGTAGTTAGGAAACTCGCACTTCTCTACAGTAGTTTACAATTGTTTTGAACGAATACCACTTGGTACTACAGGTTCATAGAATAAAGTAGATATTTTATTAAACAACCATTCCCACCGTGTGACGTCGACGGCCTGAAACTGGCTGGCTGTTTATCTGGCTCTAACTTGGCATCGAACGCAATTAGGGGATTATCGTATCATGTTTCAAGACGGGTATATCTAGATAAAGTTCGACGTGAACCAGGCTATAGGGTTTTTAAATTTGAAGGCTGCAAGAAATTTCTGTCAAGCGCCATACAATACAAATCTTTCTTTATTCTGGAAAACTCATTTCAATACAATTGATGTACTGGTCTCCCAAGAGGTCCAGATTAAGTTTAAAAAAAAATAAATAAAAAAATAACAGATTAAAGAAAAAAGTGGTAAAAACAATAAAAATGCAATGCACCACTGAAATTAAAAGGTTTAAAAATCAACTTAATAGTTTGGAAATGTTTATGAACATCAACTGGAAGATCATTCCAGAGCATTGAAGCTCTGTATCGGAAGGTTCTCTTCCCATGAGTATTTTTCCATGTTGGAATTATCAATGTATTTGTGGATTGGCTTCCAGTATTTTTTGGGTGGAATGTGTCCATGAATTGGAATTGATTAGTTAAATATAATGGGGCAGACCCCTGTAGACATTTAAATACCATAATTTTAATATCGTTTTCTCATCTGTCATCAACACACTTCCAATTTAACATGGACATTAGTTCAGTAATAGGGGTGTACATATCAGCATAAAGAAGGATTCTTGCTAGTCTATTTTGGAGAATTTGAAGACGATTAATAATTTCAGAGCTACAATTTGACCAAACGTTACTACAATAATCTAAACAAGGAAGTAAAATTGCATTAGCAAGCAATCTTAAAGCATAATTAAGAATGGATTATCTTGATCTACAAAGGATACCAATACGTTGTGATAATCTAGATGTAACTTGTTCTACTGATTTTTCCATGACTTAAGTGAACCAAAAATTAATTCCAAGATATTTGAAGCTTTTAACTCTTTCCGCATCATAATTGTTAATAAAAAGAGAAATATTAATAAACTTAGAAAACTTAGTGCCAAAGATTTCTTAACATTAAGGGTTAGTAAATAAGTATTAAACCATGTAGCAATCTTTCTAGTATTTGTTTCCATCAAAGACTGAAGATGAACAAGGTCAGAGGAAGAACATAAAAGGGTTGTGTCATCAGCATACATGATGCACTTACAATCAACTATTTCTGGCAGGGAATTTACATATATAATAAAAAGGAATGGACCAAGTATGGAACCTTGTGGTACACCAACATTAATAGGTTTTGAATCGGATAAAAATGACTTAATATTTACAACTTGTCATATTTACAAATGAAACCAGATTGGCAAGAGTTATTCTTATTTAAGTGGTGATAAAGTCTATTATGAACAATTTTTTCAATAATCTTAGAAACAATAGGCAAAACAGAAATAGGTCTGTAATTTTTAACATTAGATTTAACTCCCTCTTTGAAAATCGGATAACTTTAGCTTTTTTCCATTCAGATGGAAATTTTGCTGTAATAAAAGATAAGATCAGGAGCAATGTCAAATTCAAATTTTTCAGTATATTCATTAACATCATTTGGGTTAGTAGGATTAGTAAACGATTTATATGATGAATCAAATTTGTTAACTAGAGAGTCACCAATAGATGAAAAATAATCATCAAATTTATTAGCAATGTCTTTGTTGTTATTAGAGAGCCCAAAGTCAATCTTAACATATGTAATAACTTGCTTTTATCAGGTATTAACTTCTTAATATTTTTCCATTATTTCTTTGAATTTGTTGCACTTTCTTTTATTGCATCAGTACAACATTTCTTTTTAAGTGATCTATTTCGGATATTAGCTTTATTTCTGAGCCTTTTTGCCATATTCCAATCTGCTGGGTCATTTGTCTTATGAGCTTTTTTAACATAGTAGTCTCTGTCTTCTGTTAATTTTTGGTAATCCTTATTAATCTATTCAGGCATGGAACTTTTAAGGTGCATGTTCATTACAAGCGTTTCCCAGGCCTTATCGATATCCGAACATATCATCACTGAATCCCAGTCCTGATTTTTAACAGTATCAATGAAATCGTTTTCATTAAAGTGTTTAAATGACCTTGTCCTAATACAGTTTCAGGCTCTTGTTTAATTTTAGCGCACTTATGAGTTAAATAAATCAGTGAATGATCACTAATTCCAAGACTATGAACTTCTGAATTAGAATATTTTTTAGAATTTGAGACAAAAATATGATCTAAAATCGTTTTACATGATTTGGTGATCCTATAGTACTCTCTTTAATTATTTGTTTCATGTTATTATGGTTTTCTAAACTCTTAATTTTATTCTGATTACATCATCAAGGTCAAAATCGCCAAGTACAATTACTTCATCATATTCAAATGTATAAGATTGGAATAAATAATCTATGTTGTTTATGTAATCAACTTTGGCACTTGGAGGCATATAAACAGTCCCAACAAGAAAAGGCTTTGTATGTGGTAAACTTACTTCAATCCTCAGACTTTCAACATTCAGCATTATAGTTTGAAACTATTCTATGTACAATACTCTCTTTTATGTAACATAAAATACCACCTCAAATTTTGTGTTTCCTATCGAATCTGCAAATATTATACCCATCAATATCAAGTTCAGGGCTTGCAATATCCTTGTCAAGCCAAGTTTTAGTTAAGGATATTATATCAATTTTGTTAATATGGAGAAGACTAAATTTGATCCATGTGACCTGGAGGGGGCCACACTTTGCACCAGTCCTTTAGAGCCACCTTACACTACAAGTGATTCTGTAAGCTGCCCTAGACAAAAAGCGAGCATAGAGTAAGCATGGTACCACAAAGATATTTACCAGATTAAGCAAGTCCGAGACAAAGGCCAGACAGTCAAAGACAAGGACTTTAGGTTGTTCAGTCCTACCTGAGCTTAGGCCTCAGTGAGACAGAAAGTATGGGCAAAGAGAATCTAATCTGGGCCGGAGATTGCTAGCAATCCAAGCCGCAGCAGCCTGGAACCTTGCAGGATCGAGTCCAGGCCTTACAAATATGGTATGGCACGGCCTGCGCACAAGAGTGACACGCCGGCCAATCTGGGTGCTTATCATTGCGTGGGCTAGACCCACCACACATCGAAGGCAGACTTTATCAAGGTAAGTATTCCCGACTCTTAATCATTAAAACACCTCCAATAATGTTATTAAACTACTTTAGTTTTCTCACCTAACTCCAGATTGTTCCTGACACTCAAACTCTTGAGGCAATTCCTCTTTACATTCTGCACATATCTTTGCACGTTTTGTTTTGAAGTATCCTTCGATGCACTTTTTACAAAAGACATGGTTATCCTTGCAAGGCAAGAGCACAGGATCTTTAATGGCTTCACTACACATTCCACAGTTATGAATTCCACTCCTGCAAAACATTATTACATATTTGTCAGTCTATTTATCTATACTATGCTTTTTTGATATATTACAACAGCTAGTTTATAAAATTGATATTCATTCATCCATTTTAATAACTTATTTCAAAATCAACTCAACATACAATTAAATAAAATTAACAATACGAATTATAACATACAGTCAAAATAATTAAGTGATGTCAATTAAGTTAAACAAATCAAATATCACTGAAAATGAAAAAGGGTTAAGCAAAATAGGCAAATGAACTACAAATGCCTTAACTCATGCTTTCCTTAATAAAAATAAAAGAAAGGTAATAAAAATAAAAATATATATATAAAATAATATTTGAAGTAGTTGCATGATTAATTAAAGTTACTGTAAAAATAAATAATTATATTATTGTTCCATTATTAGATTACTATTGTTATTATTGCAATGAAGTGTTTACTATTTTAGCACAATATATTCATTTCATATTTTTACTTTTTTCCTACTTACTTCTTTCTATTTCTTTTCCTTATTTGTAATAATTGTTTATACTTACAACATTAGGTCAGCTTGAAAATAAAATAGGCATGGAATTACCAATAAACTCTGTTACAGCATACACCTGATGTATTATCCAACGTGTGTTTCTTAAGATATTTTTTGAATAAATAGAAAGAGTTAATGATTTTAATGTTTTGAGGGAATTTATTCCATATTTGGGGTCCTTTATATGTTACAGATTGTTGGGCTTTGGAGGAATCTTTTTTTGACGATCTAAAATCTGATCTGGACCTTGTGTTGTAGCTGATTTAGTTGGAAATAATTTTGGAATGTATTTGGGACGAGCCCCTTTAAAATTAAACATAGATGTTGCAACAGCCATTTCATAAAGTTGAAAAACATTAAGTGATGCAGTTTTTAGGAAGAGCTGTTTAGTTGGGTAATGATAATGGACTTTGCATACTATACGTAGGGCTTTCTTTTGTAGTTTGTAGATTTTGTTTAAGTATGTAGTGTGGGTGGATCCCATGCATCAATACCATACGTGATAATGGGAACTATTACGGATTTATAAATGGTAATACATTAAATGGCATACTGTATTTAAGTTTATTAGCAATTCCAATAATCTTAGACATTTTTAATGTGATAATATTTATGTGGTGACCAAAATTGATAAATTCATCAAAGACGATACCAAGAAAATTACATTTCTCAACTCTCTCAAGTTCCACATTGTCCATTGTAAGACTATAAGGAGTAAAGTCATAGGTCTTACGTGAACTCATCAATAAAATGTAATTGGTTTTACTTTTTTTAACTGTTTGTTTGAAACCAACTGTTGAGGTTTCAAAAGTAAATTTATAGATGCGAAAGCCAAATCTAATCAAATCATTACTACTAAAGAAGATACTAATATCATCAGCAAACATAACAACATTGTTATAATTACAAACATTGAATAGATCATTTATGTAGATCAGAAACAATAACAGGCCAAGTATAGACCCTTGTGGAAGACTACATTTTACTGTTGTTATATGTGAGTTTACACAAATCAATCGTGATGTTGGTAGTGTATGAGTGAGAGACTTACCTGGATAAACCGACTAATTGCCATTGTTCCCAAATGGAACAGACATCAGACAAAAAAGGACAGAGCAAAGCCAGCCCCATTCACGACGCGAATGCCCTCCCGTGCGGTCCACAAAGGAAAAAGCCTCCTCGGCTGCGCCCTGTGCTTTGTTCGAAAACAAAGCCTTAGAAGCTGAAAAGAGCTTCTGGTCTTCTCGCAATCTGCCCTTGGTAGTGCGAGGAATTGGCGGAGCCTGAATGAACTACTTAAAATGGTCCTCGGGGACCGGAAAAGCAGCCGTGAGGCACCGCGGCGTGGCAACCGGCTTAGATTTCACTTGCGAATTCAAGCAGAGAATAAGGTCCGGGTGGAGACCCACAACCGGGTCAGGATGAGCGGGACGCGCAGGAGCTGGCGGCCCCCAGAGGCCCGTCCCCAAACCACCCCGGGAAGGAGTCTCAAACGAGACACCTAAATGGTCAAGAATGGGCGGCATCGCCCGGGCCATGAGCTGAGAAAGATCGGAGCTGAGAATAACATCCTCAGCCTCCGAATCTGGCTTGAACGAATCGTCCATAGGTGACTCGCCACCCACCCGGACCCCTTCCCCAGGGACAGGAGGGTCGGAGATCAGGGGAATGGATGGGAAAGGCACAGCCGAAGCGACCTTCATCCCGGCAAAAACCTCCATAGCAACACGGCCCACCTGTTCTGAAATCAAGGAAACCAAAGCCGGGTTCAGCGGAGCAAAAGGCGAGGGACCTGACGAGGCTGACGGACCCTCCAACGGCGGAGGAGAATCGTCCGACGCCGCAACAACCCCCGACACAGCCGGCAACGAACTCTGAGAATGAGGCCTGAGCTGCCCAATCAGGAGCTGCCGCAAACTTAGGGGGCCAGCGCGCGCAAACCTCGCAAGGGAATGAGGACGTTTGTTAAGGAGACGGTTCATACGTGGCGCCCTGGGTCGGACTGTTCCATTTGTTTTAAAGGGGTGTTCAGTTTGGGAACAATGGCAATTAGTCGGTTTATCCAGGTAAGTATTCACAAAATAGACTGTATTGTTTACACTAACAAATTGTTTCCAATCAAATAAATAAGTTTCAAACTAATCAAGAACAACACCTCTGATACCATAGTGTCTTAATTTTTGTAACAGGATATTATGGTCAATGGTGTCAAAGGCCTTGGACAGGTCCAGGAATACCCCAATAGTGAAATTTCAATTATCAACTGCCGAGGTAATCTGTTCAATAGATTGCATTATAAGTCAATCATGACGTCATCACTGTAACTCGCAATGTTATTTGCTTATTCCCCAGCGTCCAATAATTTTTCGTGTGCAAAAAAAAATCCTCATTCTTTCATCGCCACCGCGAATACATTGCGCACCGCGATAAAAATTGAATTGTAATTGAAAATTGCTTTCGTAAAACAAGCTTAATTAGAACCCAAAGAAAGTTACTTCAAATTCAATATTAAGTATGAACAATAAGGAATTCATTGAATCAATGGACCCTCATAAACACAACAAAGTGAACATTTAATAGAAATATTCTAGACCTATTTTAAAGACTCAAGGAACACATTTAGATGTAGGCCTACGGTCATGCAGGCCGCCCAGGCCTCCTCCTACTATTACTAGGCATAGGCCGTAGCCTGGCCTAGTTATGAAATCATCGCACGATTTTACCTGTCTGCATACACCCACCAAAAAGGACGTCAGTCACTGTATTCGCTCTCGAATGCTGAAATGTTTATTTCTTTGACGAAAGTCTATCATCAATATAGCATTACAAACAAGTTCTTTCTAACACAATAGTTAGGCCTATTCATCGTATCCGTACTGTGCTACTGATGTTAGATGAGTTAAACGCGTACTGCAGGAGCAAAAATCAGCATACCACAGCTAAAAGTAAATACGCACACGTATACTGATCATATCACTATAGCAACCGATAGCTGCTACAACAGTTGGTTATAAAAAACTAAAATTAAAAGAGGGTGATTGACTTATAAAGCAATTAGTAGAGCATGCATCGTACACTAAATGGAAAATTATTCATACTTAGGTTAGATTTAATGCATTCAAAATTTTCCTTCGGGCCTTGCAGGCCCTCAAGAAATTTTTTCAAGCATTAAATCTAACCTTCGCACATTAATTTTCCTATAGTGTACTATGCGGAGCTCTACTAATTGCTTAATAGTGCATAACTTGTGGAGTGTTTAGGTTAAAATATTGTTCTTATCAAGATAGGATACTGTTTGTTCGTAAACAACTCGTTCATAAATTTTTGATAAAAACGACAGAATAGAGATTGGCCTGTAATTTGTAAGGGTATTTTTATCACCTTTTTTGTGAACTGGAAGAACTTTTGCCACTTTTCTATTATCTGGAAAAATGCCAGTGGTTAACGATGTATATGAGCAAGTGGGGGAAGAAAAAATGGTAATAGGGGTTTGATAAACTTTGTGGAAATGTCATCATAACCTGATGAGGTAGCTTTTAATGTTTGAAACGCACTTATATATTGCCCTATGTAAGAAAAACAAGTACAATAGAAACTCTCCTGTGGGACACCACTATTAAGGAGAACTCCTATTTAAAATAGTACACTTTTCCACGAAATTAGAAGAAATATATCCTTAAACACTATTACAAATCCTTATTAAGGAGACACCCCAATTAAAAGGATGGGGACACTGAGTGAGCAAAATAATCAAATCAAAATAACCACTAATAAGGGGACACTTATTTTTTGTATTGTATTATAATTACAGTAGTTTCAAAATAAGACAAAAATCATTCAAATTTATATTTTAATATAAAGCAATAAACATCAAACCAGAATGTTTTTGTCATATCAATATTGGGAATAGACATTGATATTGTGCATGTGTAAATGCCTAGTGCATGTGTTAACTTAAAATAAAACTTAAATAAAATTTCTTGTTTTGTGTATTTTTTTTTTCTATCTTGCGCATCCAATAGAAAGCTCAATAATGAAAAAATGCTGTACGCACACATCAAACATAGTGACCTTTGTGCGCATTTGTGCCGATATACAGTGAAATTTTGCTAAAATCAGGCCTAATTTTAAACAGTTACAGCTCTTTAGGATAAAAGGTGACCCCCAATTTTTATTAAACATTCTGAAAGCACATGAGTTGTAAATATGATTTTTTTTAGCTCATAATGGCCGATCGGACATTGTGACGTCATCATATTGCCATCTGAATTTAACAAACTAAATTTTATCGATGATGTCATTTTTAAAAATGCGCATTTGATCGTATCTTGCTTATTCTTGGTCGATCGTCTTCCAACTTTGAATATGTTATAGCTGAGGCAATTCTCTTACATTATGTGACTTCTTTTTACATTTTGATGACGTTATCATGGTCAAAATAAAGGTTTTTGATGACCCCCTCATCTTTCTTTCCTCAAACATTTAATGACCCAATAATCACCTTAACCAGCTGTGATTTCTGAATGATATTTAGTGGGCATAAACTTCAGGTTATGCTTAATTGTTACGTACCTTAATTTCCTGTGCGTGCATCATAACGCGCGCGTACACGTGCATCAAATTTAAAATGTGCTTAATATCATGCCTATTTTCAATCAGTTATAGCTCCTTAGGATGAAAGGTGACCCCCATTTTTTATTACATATTCTAAAAGCACATGAGTTGTAGATATGATTTTATATATCATAATAGCTGATCGGATATTGTGACGTCACCATATTGCCATCTGAATTCAAAAAACTGAATTTTTATATATGATAAATACTATGAATGATAATTACTGCTTCACCAACAGGCGTTTGTCAATGAAAGTTGATACGTATATATCTCATATCAGGAGACAACAGTGACATTAAGATGCGCATGTGCATCATGACATGCGCGTATGCATGAGTTAATCTTTTAAAATGCTCCAAATTCTTTTTTAACAAACTAAATTAGCGTATTTTGCCATTTTCAGCTTTTAATTATTGGTCAATCTGCACCGCGCACACTTCCTTGTGGGTCAAAGTGCGGCGGATCACCTAACTCGTCCTTAGTGACGAGTTCAAATCTAGTTATGAGTTGATTTCATTCTTTATCATCATTTTGATCGTATTTAAAGCAAGCAGGGAATTGGTTTTTAAGAGGAGGTTATAGAAATGGAGGTAGTCTGGCACAGAGGTGGTGCCAGTATTTGACAGAGAAAGAAGGGGTGACTAATCTTGTCAACAGCTAGAGCGTTAGTGGACAATGCCGGGGCTACTAGAACCACTGGAAAGAGATCCAGTCATATGACCTATTAAAATATATGGAAGGGATTAAAATAATGATCTTTTGATAAAGCAGAGTGGTGGCTCTAGGATACAAATCATTGAGGTGGATGGGGTGCAGGTGTGCTAGGCTTTCACCAGAGATCTGTGGAATCTATGAACAACACCCTGGCACAAGGATCAAGAAGGATAAGATTCTAGGGTGTACAGGAAAGGATCTAGGCCAGATTGTTGAAACCCAGTTTGCCGAGTGCACGATTGCAGAATCAAAAACCATGAAACCCACAGTTTGCCGAAAGTCAATCAAAAGATGACCAAGACAGGTGCCAATGTCCCTAATTTGTGATTAACTAAATTAGCTTGCATTAAATACTATTAAAATGATAAAATTTGCCATTTACATTCTAGAATTCTTTCCCCTCCCCTCTCACATCATACCCCTCCCCTCCCGGAATCCCACCATAGGCATACAGGTTCCTCCTGGATCTCCTATAGATACCTGATATAAATTCCTGGTTACGACAGCCTACATATTATGTGGTATGCTTAGAGTATATATTATCAAATCTATGAGAAATCATTTAACTGAAATGACTATAAATTTTTTCCCTAGGGAAGATTGAAAAGGACTTTTCGCATGTTAAAGAGGACACCCATTGATACCAAAAAAGCTTTGTTAACAATTTTTTACTGTTACATCAGTAAAACGACCAGACTATTACAAAAAATAGGGAAGGGTGAATGAAGATGACAACGATGATGCAAATGATTGGTGGTGATGATGGAGATGATGATGATGTTGATAATGATGATGGTATATGATGATGATGATGGATTATTCTCCTGAAGACGATTGAAGAAACTCAATCGAAACGTCAAGATTTTCTCAACTACAACAGTTCTTTTCAGAACTACTTACGTGGTGTACCGCAAGCTTCAACATATATATTATTTCTTCGCCATGCAACCTTTAAGCAATACGATGATGGTAATGATGCTAATATTCTAATATAAAGTTGACATGATGATGACCATAATATGATAACATTTTGGAAAAAAATCAATGAAAATTATGATAAATAACAATATAGTAATTATTTATGTAGCATTGTTTCAAAATGATAAAAGCTACATATGCCTTTAGTTTATTTTAATTACCATCTTCATCATTAAATTATTTTTATCATTCTTGTAATGGCTAGTAACCCTATATTTGCAATCTAAAAAGTCTCAATGAACTCTAAACGTACTTATAATATTTTTCACCGGCTTTCTTATTAATGTCATTCAGCACATTCACTAATTTCTTCATTGAGGTATTCAACTTCAAGTTAGCAGTTTTCTTAAATGCCTAGAAAGAAATATAAATCAATAATTACAGCAAAAAAAAGTAACAATCTAATGCAAAGTAAGTTCTGCTGAAGTAAATATGGCATTTAATTACATCCAGTTCATAAATAGACTAGTTGCTGAATTTGCTTCCTGTTAGTGATGTTGTTAGTCTATGAGTGAGATACTTAACCTCCCACCTCCTTGCCAAGATTACATAAACAAGATGGGTGATTCCATTATTTTTTTATGCTTGACAGGTAAGTTTCAAAAGATACTTTGTCATTTATCAGTTTATTCAGGTCAGCATTCACGAAATAGACAGGTGAAGTGTATACATATGTTGAAGGTTACAATACATACTATCCAAAGGAATTTGCACTTAGGTGAAACTATTTCAGCAAACTCTTTATTTTGCAAGCAGACATGCTCAAAGAACAGCTTCATCACAGTAATCCTCGACCACAAACATCTAAGAAAAAATTGGTTCATGATCATTGTATTTCATACCAAATTTGTCATTGATATTACCACAAAAAATGATTAAAGTGACCCCTGAAGCTTTGTACAGACATCACATGGCCTCTTGGAATCATAGTGGGAAGTTTGCATTTCTATATTATGCAGGACAAGAACATTTTCACAAATTGTTGGCATAGTGTATTAGATGATATTATCATTGTTATTTTTAATCGTTATGTTATTAAATTCTATTATGTGAGCACATTAACTCCAGTATGTAATTAGCCTCAGTTTTTTTTTTTTTTTTAATCTAAATTCACAAGAGGGTGTGGGGGAAGTCAGGGGTAAGGTAAAATTTTAGGGGTGCTGGGGTGGCTCATATGCTGGTGTGGCCTGAGGTGGGCATGGCCTGGCGTCATTCAAAATATCTCAGAAATGGTCCAGAAGCAAAGTCCCCTGCAAAATATGACAATTTAGGGGTTTCAGAGCCTTATTTAATTTATTTTATAGGTGAATAAGTAGAAAACGCATATCGGTGCCAGAGTTCAAAATCTGGGGGAGGGGGAGGCAAGTAGGGGAGAGGCAAGTGGGGGGGGAGGCAAGGTAAAATTTTAGGGGGCAATATGCTGGGGTGGCCCATATGCTGGTGTGGACCGAAGTGGGCATGGTCCGGCGTCATTCTAAATATCTTGGAAAAATATCCAGGGGCGAAGTCCTCTGAAAAATATGACAATTTAGGGGCTTCAGAGACATATTTAATCAATTTTATATGTGAATAAGTAGAAAATGCATATCAATTTTTTCTCCGCAACAATTTTTCTTCTTTTTGCAGGAGAAAACTGGGAAGGGGGGGCGCATAAAGAAAATTTAATGGGGGGCAAATGCCACCTGTTCCTCTGTAGCGCTGCCACTGATGGCCACAGTTAAAGATAAGCTCCAACCCGTCAGCACACTCAAACTACAGCATAGAAGGCATGTAAAACATATACGGCTTCTTATGGATGGGATGTACAGTAGCAGGGGATAAGTTTTCCCTATCATGCACACATTCAACATGTTACGCATACATTCAACATTTTGTCTCATGTAAATCAGGTTTATTTTCTTTAATTTTACCTGCACTCTTCTAGGATTCTCTGACTGTTTTGTCCAAAAATGTCTTTCTTTTTCTTGTACAATCCCATCATACTTTGAACAACTGGGCACAGTATGTGAATCTTGCTCAGCCATTTTCTTTGTCCGTCTTGTGATTCAAAATCTTTGCTATCGATTTCTCCCAGGATATATTTCAGACTTGTGACATCAATGGTCTTCACGATATGAATAAATTTTTTTTAAACTTTTATAATACTGTATACATATTTTGTAACTGTTAATTGATCCAAAAAATTTCTGACAGGGGCCCAACAGATAGAACACATCCACCTTAGGCCCACCATGGTTGGGGCTGAGGTGAGTAAATTTTTAAAATATGGCCTTCTAGACGCTTGAAAATGGCTTTCTCGCAGATGGTAAAGGTACTTTTTCAAAGCAGTGTTCCTCTGCGACAAAACTGACTCCCTCCCTTAGGCACCCCTTCCCTCACGGGTGTTGCAAAGGTCTAATTAAGGACTTATAGTCTATTCTATAATGAGAGTCGCAAGCAAATTATGATTATGACATGGAAATGACAGTCATTCAGACTTAAAATTTGAATATTTATTTCCATTTTTTTTTCTTTTTTTGGACAAATGTAGAGGGTCTTGGACGGCTGGGTACCCCATCCCCACTGGTTTAATATGATATATGTCCTACAGTCGATGTCAGAAACAAATTATGCTGTTATGTATGAACAAAGCACTTCACATTAGGGTGCTATAAAGCAAAAATCCAATGGGTAGGGGTACCGCAGGGGCCCATAAGTTTGGGTGGCCCTGCGGATCGTCGCACGAGGGCCGAATATACATTATGCCACTGAGCAAAAGGATAGCTGTTCTAGGTGATTACTACCCTCCGTAATAATGGCTAAAAATCTCCGTCTTTGGTCTCTGTATTTTTGGCTTTTTTTTACATCCTGCTATATGCAGGATGCTTTATTAAAAACAACTGGTCATTATGAATTAGAATCTAACAAACCAAAGTTATATAGCATTCTAAAGCCAATTGACTTCAGTCTGCATAACAACAACTTTGTCTGGGATTCTGGGGAACATATGTCACATGTAACTTAACATTTAGTCTGCTCTTACCATTTCTTCTGTATCTAATCCTTCTTCATTTGGTTTGATATTCAAGACATCTGGGCAGATATCAACAAGCTGTGATAGATGTTCAAACCTTGCTTGAAATTTGTTGAATGCTAAATGTATAGCAGCAACAGAGTTCACACTGTCAACTTGACCTCCCAGCTCTCGTACAATTGAATAAGATGCATTTATTATGTGGTCACAGATCAACTGTTGAAACAACAAAAATATTGATTAATTTATAAGATATATTTTATCAACAATATGGCTCCAAATCATCAACCATTCACAGATAGAAAAATTAATAACCTTGTGTTTATTTTCTTGGGAGACCTTGCAGGTCATCCTGATGAAGTCTGAGCAGTAGTGTTCGACAACCTTCTGAGCTCCAACAGTAGAGATGGCTGTCTGGAGTTTTCTTCCAACCTCAGATTCTTGAACAAACTTTAAAAACTGTTGATCTGTTGTTGCTTCTGCCTCAACTGCCAAAAAAATATTATAAATCACAATTAAACATGTTTATCATGAAATATTATGTTTCTGTGCAAATTATTCAATTGAATACGTTTGTTTAGAAAATGGATTCAAAGAGGTACCAGATGTATTTTGAACACTATATATTTCAAAAAAATCTGGCTAACCTTTGGCTTCTGAGGCAAATTTCCAAATATCATACAATCTGTCCTTTATAATCCATGAGAATGGAAAGCGAGCCTTGAATGATTTGCCACCATATCCTTTCTCTTGGAGGGGCACCTTAGACCGTTGAACTTTCTTCTCAGGGGATAAGCACATGTCATAGCTGATGTTAATCAGATCTACAGATGAAAAGATGCTCAGCCAAAGTTTGTGCAGCCAAGCGCTGTCAGTTTCCTGGCTTTCAAGTATATTGAGATTGTTGCTGATGTCACAGATGGCAATAACTTCAGCCAGGAATGGGGCTACAGTTGCTGTTAAGCGTTGCCAACATGCTTGTCTGTGCAGATAAAAAATGTTATTTTGATTAAAATATTTTTTTGCAACCTGATTCTACACAGCAAGAATGTTTTCGATTTTTTCAACCTTTAAGATATGGATTTCAATCCCTCGCTGTCAATTCTGTAGGTTTCCTTGAGCAACTTTACTTAAATTATATAGACATAATATATACGTGTAAAGATTCCATAGACATGTAAACTCACCTAAATGTTCCACTTTCTTGAACCTCTTTGATGTCAAGTGCCTCTCGTGTCAACCATTGAGATGACTCGGGTGCTCTGCTGTCTTTCTCCTTGACAAGCTTGATTATGAGACACTTCAAACAACAGAGAAATTCTGCAAAGTGAAGAAATGCTATTAATAATATATCCGCAAAAATATAATCAAAACAATAGATATTATATAAGTAGTAATTTCTTTTTATGTATTACAACACTGTCAAATACTGTATATATCTAAACATGATATTTATTTTCTTTGATTTTTCTTTTGCTATAAAAGCACCACCGTGATGAGTGGTGTTGATTGAATAAAAAAATAAGTTATGTATCCAGTTTTCTCCATAGTGCAAAATATAATGGAATTTTTAAAAATAGGCTATACCTTGGTGAGGAGAATCAGGCTTCAACAGATTTACCAGTAGGCGAACCCTTTCAGTAGAACGATGTCTTTGACTGGTTGGGTCACTAATTCGTGCAGTTGCTGGATGAATACTGTCTAAGAGAACTGCTGTAAAGTCAACTAGAGTATTATCTTTGTTGCTTTCCACATTCAATGCAACATGTTCTTGTTGTATTGCTACCGTGGCCTCTTCAATATTAGATTCTGTCATGAAAGTCAAGAAATACTGTAAGCTAAAAGTCCAGGAAATCCTTCAGTGCACCTTGGAAGCACAGGTAATTTACTGAAACTGAGTGAGTGAATAAGTAAAAGAGTGAATGATTGTAAGTGATGTATAAAATGAATTTATGATTACCATCAGACACAGGTGTAAGTTCCAATTTCTTATTGCCATCTAGTGCAACATCTCTTTCATTCCTTCTCACTGGAATGTCTTCTTGGTTCCCTTTCTTTGAGACAGTAAACAAATCACTCATCATTCGACCCATCATCTCATAAACATCTGGCCGGTTGTCTTTGGGGGGTTGAAGGTCATCAATGTGTGCGGATGCCCATAGACCCCCTAGAAAGACAGACACATGTAACATGTAATCACAAAGAGAAAGTACTATAGAGGAAGCAACAGTTTTAAATACAGTATCTAATATCTAATAGAGTGCAAAACACTGTGAAACTTGAAAAGTTTTAAGTAAAAAAACTATATTTTGTTGTACAGTTAATTTGTACCAAATTGACAAGCAGCTTTTAACTTTACTGAATGAAAGTACCTCTCTGTAAGTCTCATTATGAGGCAGTGGCGGCTCTAGGAAGGGGGGGGGGAGGGTTCTCCCTCCCAAATGAGGTTATTTTAAGAACAGGAACCTCTGGATGGCCAGAAATGATACTCTCAGACTGTGACAGACGTGTTGGCTTGGCGTAGGCCTATTTTTATATTCTTTTTTAGCCTGACGAGCTCTGTCTGATGGGAAGGTGGGACTTAAGGGTTGGCTCATGCTTCCCCTTCCCTCACCCCCGGTAACGCCACCACTGTAAATTAGTAACATTTTAACCTTGTCTATGAGACTGGAATGTGAGTATCTCAACAACAATGTTGCTGGTCCACTCAAAGCATTCAAGCAGGAAACCACCAGGATTTTAATTTGTACCTTGAAATCCGTTAAAACATTGGTTAACACGCGGAAGCTGAATTATAAATACAACATGGGCTTGGCTTTCTGTTATATACTCTTGCTCTGACTCGACTCTTTCTTGAATAGCAGAAAAAGCATTCTCTCTTTCATCTTGTACTCGATAAGAGGCACAGGATATAAGATGTGTAGTATCGCTGCTAGCATCACACTGAACTAACAGTAGCCGCTCACTTGCACGATTTTCATCAAAAAATTTCCTGTGTAAATAATGCACAATATTGATTTCATGAGGGGAATGGAGAAATTTATTGCCCCAAAGTGATCACAAAGGGGCTATAGATTTCACTGTTTCCTTTCAAACCAGGACCAGTAAATATCTGTGTCTGTTTCTGGTCAGGTTGGGACAAACTAAGCAAATCTGTTGTATAATTGAATTATCAAATGGAAAATTAATTAGTTGTTAGTTTACTCATGAGTTATATATCATTAATGTATGCTATTCTTTATCCATTCACTTATGTTCTACTTACTTTTAATCTACTGGTTTAATATATGTTTCAAGAAGAATCAACTGTCTTTTTTAATTAGAACTTCAATTTTATTTGTTTTGCTACCATAAATTCATTCCACACCTCTCTAATCTCAGATGAGGTAAATATAATCTTTCTTAATATTCTAGCCAGACATACATTCAGGCTTTTTTTGTATACATTAACATAAACAGTTTAGCCAGTACTGTACTTACTGTACTTTATCAGAGAATTGCTGCTCATGTTGGAACTCCTGTAAAGAGATCATCTTAATGTGAGAATTATCTATCCTAGTAGATACTGCAAGTGCCTCTGAGTCTTCTTCTATTAGCAGATGTGAATATGTTGTTACCTGTAGAATGAATATAAATTTTTGGTCAAACAATGATGGTTAAAATTATGAAAAAGTCAGATATTACCATGTATTTTATCAACAGGATGCAATTAAACTAAACTCCACTAGTCATACCTGGGCTAGGACTCCTGCAGTCCCTTCTTTATGATTCTTCTGAATTTGGTCAGCTAGGTAGTCAGCAAGACATCCATGCTTCTGTAACCTGAAGTAAGTATTTGTCAGTGCTTCTCTCTCTTCATCAGACATACTTGTTTTGGATAATCTGGTGACTGATTCCGGTGTGGCGCATATCAACAACTGGTCTTTAACTTTTTCAACCACCTTCTTTTAAAGACAGAACAGAATTAAGATACTGTAATTCTTACCAATGTAACAGATTTCAAGCCAAAATAACCTCAATATTGTTCAGTATTCAGGCAGAGGGCGGAGGTATGCAGACATCTGCTATTATTATTCTTAT